TTTTTTAGTGTCAGAGTTCCGTCGCGTGCGCCCCTTCGGCGACGCGTATCAGATAGTACTCTTTGGTTTGGTGTATCGGCGTCCGTCCTCAAGTGCGAGGATTCTCATAGACTCTGCCGTGAGCGAGCGGGAGTGTCGCGATTCGCGTGTCGAGCCACCCGGAGATCGCCGTCGCGAGTTCGCCGCAAAGCCCTCGCGCCCGAGCTCGCGAGCGTTAGCGTAAGTGTGAGTGAGTACGCGGAATCACGAGGTCGCGCGTCGCACTGTAGTGCGACCTTGCGCGCGATTTCCTCGCGTGTCAGTGTGTGTCGATTCTATGTCAATTTCGTTGCGTACAAGTATCGGACGCGCCAATTTACGATTGACTTTCGTGGGAATAACTGTTGTCGTTAGACCTCGGTACTCGCGTCGTACCGAGCCACGTACTTCATTGTAATATCGCGCCGCCGCGTTTCATATGCGTTTCTTTTCGTTTCCGGCCGAAGTTTATGTCGATTACTGGTCGGTTTCGTGTCTTTTTCTTTAGCTACGCGGGAGTGGTATCTCGCTGCCGGACTCCCGGCGCGCGGAATCAATCGCGTCACGCACTATTCGCACCGAACCGACTTTCTTACGATATTATCTTAGGCTTCTTTTCTTTTCACCGTTTATTATTGCCGTTCCGAACGGCCAATAAATCTGCTATTATTTTGTTACTATTAATCCGTTGGGGTACGAATTCTTCCGCCCGCCCCGCGCCATCCCATCGCCCTTTTTCCTCGCCCTGCCCCTCTGCCGTTAGGCGGAGCCGGCCGGCCCTCGTGCGATCGACATCGGGAGCGGCGTTTACGGGTCAAGTATCGTTGCGTGTACGAATTTTGGTAATCGTGAAATTTCGCGAGTGACGTGACCGAGAACACGTCTGGCGCCCAGCTTTTCGCGTTGCCGCTCCCTGTCGGTCGCCGGAGGGACACAATTCCGGAGGACTGTCACCTCCCCTCCGCGGAATCGCCCGAGATTTCGCAAGCTTGTTTGATCCGGGCTCGCGCGAATTATCTATTTCACGGGAGCACGTGACAAGATATATTAAACAAGTGTAATGGTTATGTATTTTCATTATTAATTTTTCAATTTCAAAATTAAATTTCTTTAAAATTAGCCATGGAAAGGTCTATTTCATGTTTTTGACTTATATTTTTATACATAATCATTACTTTCCATATAGCACAGAGCATTTAAA